TATCCTTACAAACATAGACTAACGAAATAGAAAAAGAGAGGGTTCATGAACTGAATATGCATTAAAAAATTAGAAAACAACATATAAGCCTAAAGTAAGGACAAAAGATGTTAAAAATTAAAGAAGAAATATGCAAATTGTTAACAACAAATAACCATAGAAATGATTAATAAAACTGAAAGCTGGCTCTTTGAAAAGACTAATAAAATTGATACACCATTAGCTAATCTGATTAAAAAGAAAAACAGAAAACCAAATTAATAAAATATCAAATGAGGAAGGTGAAATCACAGCTAAACCAGATGAAACAAAAAGAATAATCAAAACAGTTACATGCTAACAAAACAGAGAACATGAAAGACACAGAGGAATAACTTCAAAAATATAAAATAATTGCACTATTAGAAGATGGGATAGAGAGCTTAGATAACTGAATCTCAGAAAAGAGAATTCTATCAAACTTTTAAATAACATTTAGTAACTAGACTTCAAAAATTGAGAAAGAAAGCATTTTACCAGAATCCTGTATCCTTATGATACAAATATATTCGTAATATATAAATGGGGAAAAATAAAAATACAGAAGGAAAACTATAGGCCAACATCATTAATAAATATTGACCCAAAAATTTTATACAGAATCCCGTCAGACTATAATGAGTTATTCAAGAAATCATTAATTATGACCAAGTGGGATTTATGTCAGGGATACAAAAATGGTTCAACAATAAGAAAACAATCAACATAACTAATCATATGAAAAACCAAAACATTAATCATCTCAAAAGATATAAAAAAAGCCTTTGACAAAGTACAACAATCCTTTATTCTAAACAAAAGAAAATAAACAAAAAAGCCCCAATCTACAAAGTATAAGCATAGGGGGACATTTTTAAAATATAAAAAGCATCTATTTAAAACTAAAATCAAGAATCATACGCAAGGGGGATACACTAGAACCTTTTCCAATAAATATGGGAGTGAAGCAAAGAGTTCCACTCCCCCTCTATTATTTGATATAGTTCTGGAAATGCTAGTAACAGCAATAAGATGAGAAAGAAACTAAAAGCATAGGTAAAAAGGAGTGAAATTCTCCCTATTTACTGATAATATAATTATCTTGGAAAAACCTAGGGAATCAGCAAAGATTGATTGAGTCTCATTGAGACAATAACTTCAGCAAATTTGCAGTCTACAAAATAAATCCTCAAAAAAATCAATATTTCCACACAATAATAGCAAAACATAGGACGCAATAATAGAAAGGGCACCTCTATTCCAAATAATTACAAAATCCATAAAATATCTGGGAATCAACCTACCAAAGCACACAAAAGACTTATATAGATTCAATTACAAAGAACTCCTTAAAGAAATAAAGAACAACTTAAATAACTAGAAGAATATTCAGTGTCCATGGCGAGGCTGTGCTAATATGATAAAAATGACAATACCATCAAAATTAATTTACACTTTTAATGCGATACCAAGCAAATTACCAAGATGACTTATAGAACTTGATAAGATAATAATAAAATTCATTTGGAAAAACAAAAAATCTATTGAAACTGTGTTATAAAGTAGCAATCATCAAAACCATGTTGTATTTGATAGATTAATGGAACAAACTAGACAAGGAGGATTCAGAAACACAAATTAACTGGGAGAAATCTGGAAAGCAGTTTGGCAGAAATTAGGCTTAGATAGACAAACAATTTATACCACACTCTATAATACATTCTAAATGGAAATTCCACCTTAATATTAAAGATCATACTATTAAAATTTTAGAAAAGAAACAGATCTGGGCAAGAGAAATACTTTTATCCAAACAAGTGATAGAAAAATTACAAAAGATAAAATAGATTATTTCGATTACTTCAAATCAAAAAGCTTCTGCACATACAAAATGAATTGCCTCTAGGATAAGAAGGGAAATAGTCAAATGGGGGGAAAATTGTATTAAATTTCTCTGATAAAGGTTCAGTATTTAAGATATATCACTATCTCTATATATGTAATATATGCATGTATATATGACTAATAGCCATTTGCTAATAGGTAAGTGATCAAAGGATATGAAAAACAGTTCTCAAAAGAATTGCAAATTATTGACAACTACATGAAAAATTGCTTCAAATCACTAATAATGGGAGGTGGTTTGCCTGTGTTTTTTACCTTTCCAATGAATTAGTTAGTTGTGCTGACTTTTTTTCTTGCTTAAACAATATTTGTTATATAGGATTGCTCTCTGAGAAGGAAAGGGGGAGAGATATTTTAGGATTGCTCTCTGAGAAGGAAAGGGGGAGAGATATTTTAGCTAACTATGATGATGGAAGAAATAGAAGCTATCAAGAAAAACTTACTTTTAAAAAAAGTGTTCTGGGTCACATGACCAAAAAGATGCGAGAATAGACATTTTCTGTGATCCTAATGACCTTTCTAACCTCTATAAAATAGAAATTATGCACAAAAGAAATTCACATAAAATTACACACAAAAAAGAAATTATGTACAATTGTCTTTATAATCTAGGGCATCAAGAATACAAACAACATACTTCAATAAACTAATAGTAATCAACTGCTAGCCCTTAACACACTCATTTAACACTCCACAGCATACCATGCTCCTACAACACATGTGCACAAATTTAACTACCAGCTTGCAACAGGATTCAATTCTATATCCTCCTCCTCCTCCTCCTCCAGTGCCTCAGAAATCCAAAAGGCAGAAGCTTGCTATAATGAATAGTGCACACATAAAACCAATTTACTGTTTTATATACTAACTAGTGTGATAGAAACACCAATTAGACTGGCATTTCTCAGTGTATGCAATCAAACACATGCAAACAAAACAAGCATCAGTCCTTCTAGGTAGAAACCACCAACCTGATTCCTTAAGGTCCAAGGAAGCTTGTTTTATATCAGTGTTCAAAACCAGGCTCACTTTCTGGCCAGCAAAAGTTGGAATATCTTCTGGCAAGTCTCTGTCCATCAGCACTACTCTTGTGCTTATCAATGTCCCTCCAAGAATGTGATACTCAGAATTGCGTACTATATTCCAGATGTTGTATGATCTGGGCATAATGCTGTAGTATTACTTTATGTCATCCTGGGCATTGTACCTGTCAAATGAAGCCTAAGTTTAAATTAGCTTTTTCTTTTTTTTTTTTGCTACATATATACTTTACCCATCATATTATCATGTAAATCCTATCTTCTATCTTGCAATATAAGTATGTAATGATTTATTTTTTAATAAAGAATTAGTTACAATTTCTGTCTGAGGTCAGTTGTAGAACAGATTGTTGTGTACTGCTGTCATATTCTGAGCAAGTGTAGTGGCAGTAAATATATTAATGTAAAAGGAACTACTCCTTTTTGTTTTAAACCTCCATTCTGTGACTAAATAGCTGTTATGTATCCAGAGGAGGGCAACCAAAATGTAAAGGGTTCAAGATCATTCTATATGAAGATCAATTGAAATACCAGGAAATGTTTGTGCATACAGACTTTAAAATTCCCTTATGTGGCCAAGCATAGTTATAGTGTCTTTTTCAATTTATTGCATGATACAAGTAGATGCTAAAGCAGGAAATCCAGAATTCTCAGAATTTAACTTTTTGTAAAGTAGAATGAGAACTGAAAAATATTAAATATAACACTATTACAAATGTATTGTGAGTTTTCCTCCCAAGATGGAGTACAATTAAATATCACAGGTTTACAAATAAACACAGTCTTAACTTGGCTACAGGAATTCTTAAATCTTTATTTTAACAGTTGATGAAGGAAGAAGAGAATAAGATTAATCTATCTCCACTTTTAAAAAATTAATTAAAAAGAACCTAAAATTTCACAAGAATCTTTGGAGAAAGGCACAGAGCACTGAAGGAGATATACCTAGTATTTACTGACTTCAGCTAGTCTACTAACTGGACAGATTTCTAGATACATACTCAGTCTATCAAGCAAACTGGAAAATGCGATTTACCCAGAAACTCAAAAACTTACCTCAGTTACAATAAAGGGTGAAAATACTGTTGAGTCAGTAAAACAGATTTTACTCCTAGTTATTTGACATAGAACCGCTGGCCTGAGGGCAACATATCCCAGTAACAGACAAGCAGCTAGGGAAATACAGCAAATGATAGATCTAATTCCCACTTATACACTAATAACATCTCCTGTAAGATGTAAGTCAAGAAGACTCCAGTTCAGAGCTGGCTTCAGACACTTCCTAGCTGTGTGACCTTAGGCAAGTCACTTAATCCTGTTTGCCTCAGTTTCCTTTTCTCAGATGAGCAGGAGAAGAAAATGGCAGATCCCAAATGGGGTCAAGAAGAATCAAAAACAAGAAAAATTAGATCTTCCCACTCCGTCCCAGGGGGTATGAGTGACCCTACAATACACACATTTGAGGATTGGAGAGAATAATCTTTGGGGACAATGCTTTCCTAAATGTCCCTCCCACTTTAGTTCTCTGCCTTGCATGTACTATCCCCCGTCTATTTCAGCTAGGGTCATTCAAACCTTCCTGTCCCATAGATTATATCCCTTGCAGATCCCCCTTGTTTGCTTCATATTTCCTGTGGCAGACTCTAAAATCTAGAGAAGTAGTGATGATGATGATGATGATGGCGACGACGATGACGACGACAATGACGACGATCTTAATTAAAACTTGTTTCCAAGTGACGATGGAGCATGCTCAGTAGCCAGGTCAGGTTTTGCTCCCAACCAGCTTACCCTTATTCGACACCTTTGGAGATGTTTAACTCTCTATACTGCTTTTTTTGAGGAAGCAACACATTTTCTCTGCTTTCCGTTCTCCCTTCCCCTCCCCTTTTCAACGCTCAAAGATAAAGTACGCTAGTACAAAGCTCCCACTCTGTTTGCAGCCAATAAGTGGATTGAGAGGGGAGGAGTTTATAGCTGTGGGTTGCTTTGGGGAACTCCAAGTTCTTAGAGAAATCGTCCCTGGTAGATGTAAATCGATTCTAACCTCCACTGCATCTGTCTCAACAGTATATGCTGCAGACTGTGGAATAAGTCTGATTTTGCGAAAGATCAGTTCGAGTTTTCTGAGGATCATGGATATTTAAAACAAATCAGGAGGGTTTTTTTGTTTTGTTTTGGAAAGACGGATTGAAGCGAGGGAGAAAATGACCCACATGTTAAAGGCAGCGGCAAATGGAGTGAAATGGACCAGATCTAGGACTGCTAAAAGGGTCGCCTGCCTGATGGCTGCGGCATATGCTCTGAAAACTCTCTATCCCGTTATTGGCAAGCGTCTAAAGCAGCCCGACTGCAAAAAGAACCTAGAGGAAATTTGCCCGACTGCAGAGAATCAGGGGAAACTGCATTGCACTGAGGGCTCTTGGAAGAAAGCTCCTGGAGTGAATGCAGATTTTTTCAAACAGCTTCTGCAGCTTCGGAAAATTCTCTTTCCCAAACTTGTGACCACCGAAACAGGTTGGCTATGCCTTCATTCCGTGGCTTTAATCTCAAGAACTTTTCTTTCTATCTATGTGGCTAGCCTAGATGGAAAAATTGTGAAGAGCATTGTGGAAAAAAAACCTGGGACTTTCATTATTAAATTAATCAAATGGCTTATGATTGCAATTCCTGCAACATTTGTGAACAGCGCAATAAGGTATCTGGAGTGCAAGCTTGCTTTGGCTTTCAGAACTCGTTTGGTAGATCATGCCTATGAGACCTATTTCACAAATCAGACTTATTATAAGGTGATCAATATGGATGGGAGACTTGCAAACCCTGATCAGTCTCTTACTGAGGATATTATGATGTTCTCCCAGTCTGTAGCTCACTTGTATTCTAATCTAACCAAACCCATTTTGGATGTAATGCTGACTTCCTATACTCTCATCCAAACTGCTACATCCAAAGGAGCAAGCCCCATTGGGCCTACATTGCTGGCAGGGCTTGTAGTGTATGCTACTGCCAAAGTATTAAAAACCTGCTCTCCCAAATTTGGTAAATTGGTGGCTGAAGAAGCTCACAGGAAGGGGTATTTGCGGTATGTGCACTCCCGAATTATAGCCAATGTGGAAGAAATTGCCTTTTACAGAGGACATAAGGTAAGGCAAAAATTAAGATGATAGTTGAAATGTGAGATGGCTCGATGCTGCTACTGCAGAAAAAGATAGGGTCTGTTGTCTCACTTCCGCAATGGTTCAGATTCCTCTGACATCTAAACTTCTATGAAAATATATGCTTTCTTAAACTTTTAATCACAAATAGAATTGCAGAATATATTTTCTAAAGTTTCATTTTTCTTAAATATCTAGAGTTAAGAGTAATTTAATTCTAAGCAAAATGTGTGCTTAGTTTGACAAATACATTAAATATTTATGTTCCACAGTTTATTTTCTTTTTTTTTGTATTAACATTTTTATTTGAAGTTTTGAGTTCCAAGTTCTATCCCTCCCTCCCTCTAATCTTTCCTCCCAGAGATAGTAAGCAATCAGATATAGATTATGCATATGCAAATATGTAAAACATTTCCATATTAGTCATTTTATAAGGAAGATTCAAATAAAAAAAATGAAAGAAAGTGAAAAATAACATCTGCATGCAAATAATACCAGTTCTTTCTCTGGAGGTGGATAGTATGCTTCATCAGTAGTCCTTAGGGATTGTTTTGGATTGCTAAGAATAGCTAAGTCATTCACAATTCTTCATTTAACAATATTGCTGTTACAACATTCTCCTGGTTCTGTTCACTTCACTATCCATCTGTTTATGTAAGTCTTTCCAGGTTTTTCTGAAATCATCCTGCTTGTCATTTCTTATAGCATAATAATATTCCATTACAACCATATACCACAGCTTATTTAGCCATTCCCCAATTGATAGGCATCCCTTCGATTTCCAATTCTGAGCCACCACAAAAAGAGCTGCTATAAATATTTTTTGTTCAAATAGTTCCTTTTCCCTTTTTTTGGATGTCTTTGGGATATAGACCTAGCAGTGGTACTGATGGATCAAAGGGTATGCATAATTTTACAGTTGTTTGGGCACAGTTCTAAATTGCTCTCCAGAATGGTTGGATTAGTTCACAGCTTCACCAATAGTGCATTAGTGTCCCAGTTTTCCCACATCCTTTCCAACATCCAACATTTCCCTTTTTTGTCATATTAGCCAACCTGATAGGTGTGAGGTAGTACTTCAGAGTTGTTTTAATTTGCATTTCTCTAATCAGTAGTGATTTAGAGCATTTTTCTTCACATGACTATAGCTAGTTTTGATTTCTTAGTCTGAAAACTGTCTGTTCATATCCTTATTGGGGAATGCCTTTTGTTTTTATAAATTAGACTCAGTTCTCTATATATTTGAGAAGTGAGGCCTTTATCATAGGTACTTGTTGCAAAAAGTTTCCCCCAGTTTTCTGCCTTTTTTATAATTTTGGTTGCATTGGTTTTGTTTGTGCAAAAGCATTTTAATTTTATATAATCAAAATTATCTATTTTATATTTTGTAATGCTCTCTATATCTTCTTTGGTCCTAAATTCTTCCTTTATCCATAAATCTGACAGATAAACTATTTCATGCTCTCTTAATTTGCTTATGATATCATACGTAAGTTATGTACCCATTTTGACCTTATCTTGGTATATGGTGTGAGATGTGTTGTTGAGTGTGTGTGAGATATGTGAGATATGGTGTTGGTCTGTACCTAGTTTCTGCCATAGTCTTTTCCAGTTTTCCCAGCAGTTTTTGTCAAATGAATTTTTGTTCCAAAAGCTTGGATCTTTGAGTTTATCATATACCAGATTACTATGGTCATTTACTACAATGTAGTTGTACCTAATCTATTCCACTGATCCACCACTCTATTTCTTAGCCAGTACCAGATTGTTTTGATAATTAGTGCTTTATAATACGGTTTGAGATCTGGTACAGCCAGACCACTTTCGCATTTTTTTCCCATTGATTCTCTTGATATCCTTGAGCTTTTGTTCTTCCAGATGAATTTTGTTATTATTTTTCTAGCTCTATAAAATAATTTTTGATAGTTTGATTGGTATGGAACTGAGTTAATAGATTAATTTAGGTAGAATTGTCATTTTTATTATCACAATTTATTTTCTTTTTTTTGGTTGGGCAATGGGGTTAAGTGACTTGCCCAGGGTCACACAGCTAGTGAGTGTTATGTATCTGAGGCCAGATTTGAATTCAGGTCCTCCTGAATCCAGGAACAATGCTCTATCCACTGCACCACCTAGCTGCCCCCACAATTTATTTTCTTAAAACTTAAGCCCCTGCTGAAGTAAAAATGTACATTTGGGAAATACAAATAAAACACTTTCATTGTAAAAAGAAAAATACAGTTGTTTTTTAACTATTCTTCTGGGAAAATGCTTAGAACACTATGAAAGACACTGTTTTATATATATGATTTTCAAATTATCAAAATATGCAAATGGATTAATGGTTAAGACTTTTATATTTAACAATGCATTTTCTACAAAGCTAGTCATTTTATAACAAGGGTTCTAAGCCAACTTTAATCTATATTTTTTAGCTGCTAGACCTAAAGATGGCACTTTATAAAATATAACTTTTAAGATAAAAATTACATCACAAAATCATACATAGGCTTCTAAGCAAAGTTCTATGTTGATAGATATTTATTATGAATATATATAGCTTAGTAGAATGGGGAAGGGTAAAATGAGAGGGTGTTCAGGCATGCAATGTAAATACTTGTTTTGTTTTGTTTTTTCCCATAGGTAGAAATGAAACAACTGCAGGAAAGTTACAAGGCTTTAGCAGAGCAAATGAATCTCATTTTATCTAAACGTTTATGGTACATAATGATAGAGCAATTCTTGATGAAGTATGTCTGGAGCAGCAGTGGACTGATTATGGTAGCTGTACCTATTATCACTGCAACTGGCTTTGCAGATGGTGGTAATGACATTTCTACTTTATTTCAAATATGTGTTTTAAGTGGAAATAATTTTTTTTTTGGTGAGGCAGTTGGGGTTAAGCGACTTGTCCAGTCACATAGCTAGTGAGTGTTATGTGTCTGAGGTTGTATTTAAACTCAGGTCCTCCTGACTCCAGGGCAGGTGCTCTGTCCACTGTGTCACTTAGCTGCCCTCAAATGGAAATAATTTTAAGAGTTTTTGCTAATTTTCATTTTAGTCATACTCTGATTGTATTAATTTTACTGTAATTATTAGGGATAGGGAGTGGGCCTGTGTTAGGAAACCTAAATTTAAGTCTTCCATCTGCCATTTAATAGTTACTATAACCTTTGGCAAGTCATTTGGCAATGACTTCTTTATAGTCATCTCAATAAGTTTCCTCATTTACAAAATAGAGTTCTAACAGAATTATTGACCAACGTAAATTAAATAATATGTGTAAAACTGTAATATACACAAATAATAATATAACCCTAAAGTAAGAATCTTCTATATATCATACCCCACAAATGGTTCATTCATGTAACTTTTGAGTGAAAATATGTAATTCAACCCTCTACCTCCTGAGACAGCGCAGTTCACTTTTAATAGCTCTAATTGCCAAGAGTTTTTTCAGGCAAGTCTAAATTTACATTTGTTTGTTTGTTCTTTTCAACTTCCACTGATTTCTCCTAAATTCTGCCTTTTGGAGTTAAGTTCCATATGACAGACCTTTAAATAGTTGAAGACAGCTATCATTTCCTTTTTGTTCCTTCAATTTTGCTATGGTATACACTTTTTAGACTTCAGAAAATTTATTGGTCGTTAAGGGCAAAATGCAGAAGCAATGAGATCTAAGGGCAAGTCCCATTCAAATTATATTTGCACCTAACAGTGTGTGAATCCATTTTAAATGTTAGTTTAAATTCTTCACTTTGTTAAATTTTAGTTTACTTGCAAATGAAAAGGCTGAGACTTTGAATTTTCTCCTAGGGCATAGATTCCCTCTGTAACTTTTCCCAGCCTTTGATTTGCATAGACCTACTGAAGATCAATAGAACTTTTAAAAACTGGATAACTATCAACCTCAGAAATATTTTGGAGATTACTGGTGAATGATTAGTCATTGCTTTGCTATGGCCTAGCTAGCAGAGATGAAGATTTGGAAAATGTACCAAGATAGCCATTGTAAGTTAGAGTGAGATCTCTCACTAAGGCAACCTGATTTTGAACCAGAAAGAGTTTCCAAAAGTAAAAGGTAAATCTCTACTCTCCCTTCTCCTGCCTGGGAGATGGCAAGCCTCAGAACTAAGGAAGGTTCTGAGGGAAACAAAATGGTAAGGCTTTTGCCAGAACTAGGTTAGGCTAAAGGTCTCTGCTCATTCTGAAAGAGCACTCATATATAAGACCTCGAGGGTCTAGAGTTGTGAGTTGCATTTTCCACATATACTCCCTATGTGTGTGCCTCGTCATTGTAGTACTTTAAAAAAAATTAATTTATAGAATAAAACAAGCATTTCCATAACATAGTATAATAGAAAAAGAAGACTGCACATGAAACTGCAAATCTACTATGTACAACTTGCTATTCCTTTCAAATATACAACAAAATTATCATGTAAATTTCTTTGCTTTTTCTTCCCTCCCTTTTAGTCCCCCCCAACCATGGCTACCATTTGACACAAATAGGAATATATATGTAAAATTATTCTGTACATACTTCTATTTATCAGTTCTTTCTCTGGATGCAGATAGCATCTTTCTTCATGTGTCCTTTATAGTTAATTTGGGTATTTATAATAGTCATTGTAGTACTCTTTTCTTTTCTTGTATTTTTTTTTTTTTTGGCTAGGCAGTGGGGTTAAGTGACTTGCCCAGGGTCACACAGCTAGTAAGTGTCAAGTGTCTGAGGCTGAATTTGAACTCAGATCCTCCTGACTCCAGGGCCAGTGCTCTATACACTGTGCCACTGAACTTCCCCTCATCATAGTACTCTTAAGTTTGTGTCCATTCTTTCCAAGGTCACTGTATATATTTGTGGGAGATTTTGCCAAAGGATTGGGGGGGGGAAATGTTTTGTACTACTGTTTTTACAGTAAATGTTTTGATAACAGCTAGTTGAATCTAATACCTGTAGATGCCAATAGAAAGCACACTGATGGTGCCACAGGGTATACTCTTGAACCCAAGGTAGCAGCCATCTTCTTGAGATCCAAACTGATAGTAAGTTCAAATTAGAGAAATAGCCAGAAAAGGGACTACACTAAACTAGAGGACCCAGTTGGCTCTCCTTAGATACTCTCCATCATTCCTTCTTAAAATGTGGTACTTAGAATTGAATACAATACTCCAGATGTGGTTTTACTAGCATCAACTTCATCCAGTGAGACAGTCACCTGTCTACCCCTGAAAATGATGTAGCTTCTTGACTTCTATATAACATTAATGACTCATAGTGAGCTTGTAGTTCTCTAAACACCTACATCCTTTCCAGACAAATTGTTGTCTAGCCATACCAAGTGCATCTGATATTTGTGGAGTTGATTAAAACTGAGGATAAAACATTTATCCCTGTTAAATTTAATCCTTTTCAATTTAGTCTAATATTTTATTTTTTCAAGATCTTTTTGAATCCTGTTTTCTAGTTTAAGTACTTATTATTTACAAGACCCCAGACCTTGACAGGAATACAAAGATAAAAAATAAACTAGCTCCTCCCCATATTTTTTGGGGGGGACTGAAAGGTGGGAAGAGGGAATAACAGGCACACAGATAAATGTGAAAAGAGATGATCTGGATATAGAAAGAGATGGCATGTAGAGAAAAAATTTAAATACATTTAAAACCATCTGATGTTTCAGATTGAATTTCTAACAGACATGATAATTACCTTAAAAGTTTCAGAAGGAAAAAATACTCATTTTTTCCTAATTAATGTATGTCAGAGGAGGACCTAATGACAAGGCTATAGCATAGTTAGCAATAATAAGTGTTTAGAAGCACTGGCCTTATTATAGAACCCTGGGGCATGCAGCATAGAGTAGAGAAAACACAATTATTAATAATGGTAAATTAGCCCTATTGAGATAAGTAAGGGGTAAACAAGATATGAGAAGAATTTTTTCCTGTAGGTGATTTAAGGTGGGTGAAAACATTTTTTTTAACTATCAGAGATACCGATTGTTTGATTCCAAATTCAGGGAATAGAAAAAACATTTAAAAAGTAGCTTATTATGTAAACTTAAGAATGCCAGAATAAGACATTGATTAAACAAAATAAAATTTTATCTCAAAATGAATAAGTGGAAATAAAACTAAATTTTGACATTTCCTAGCAATTGTCCAGAGACTTTTGACAAACTAGCCAGTGAGAAAGTAGGTAAAATGGACTTTCTCAAGCCATTTTCTTAAGATATTGATCTTAAGATCTTCTGTTCTTCATAAGGTTGTACTATGCATGTGATTGTTGTTTAAGAATAAAATCTGTTTTTATCTCAAGGTGATGAAACTATTGTGTTCATTATTATTCATATTACATTTTCAACACTTGTACCACTCTTAGAGATCTTTGAAATGTTTATATCAATCAACATTTTTAAAGATAAAGAAGACCAAGTTTAAGGATGGATAGGTGAATAGGAAAAGGTATGGAAAGACCAGAGAAAAGTAGCAAAGAGGGATTTTTTTTGTCTGTTGGTTTTCTTGAATCATGATACAAAATGGAATAGGTTTAAAATGCATAGTTTAATTCATTTTTTGATTGAGGAACTAAGGCCTGGAGATGTTTAAGAAGATTGCTTACCGTCACAAAATTGCATAGCTAATTAATGGAAGAACTATGACTATAACCTAGGTCTCATGGACACACAATTATGTGCTCATTCCACTATTCCACATTGCCTCTGTATCAGATGTAGGATCATGATGTTTAGAGCTTGTGGTTAAAAACATATCTTAGGGCCTTACCGCAATAGGTGGTGTTCTCTTCCTAACCTTACTCCATGAAAGCTAGGTTAATTTTTCTTTGAAAGGTATTGGAACTATCCTGAAGATTTAATTGACCCCAGGGGACTAACCCTCAAAGCACTGATAGCTTCTGGAAGGCTTCACCACAAAATACAGCATATAAGGAATCAGTGGCTCTTCCCCCAGACTGGAGGCAAAAGGTTAACAAACAGCTCTTAGTTTCTTGAAGTCCTTTTCTCCCATTTGTGTTCACCCCATTGTAGGATGTTCAATACATTCTCTTTAAACATGGTGAAATGGTCCTTGGCTCTTGATGTAGACAGTCTGCCAGCTGATCTGGGACACTGGCTAAGAGAGCAATGTAAAGATGAGTGGTCCAAAATCTTCTGGACTCTTTGAAGTTTTAAAGGTCCTTCCTCTTCCAGCCAGAGTGGGGTCAGGGAAAAGGGAACAGGCCAAGACTAAAGGTGGGCCCTTTTTTCTCTAGGAGATTCCTTTTTGACGGAGAGGTAGGGGCTAGGAGTGGTGATGGTTGAACGCCGAGATTTCCATTGCACATTGCACCAATTTCTAAAATGAATATATTTCAATTCACTTGATCATTTATAGATGCTCCTCCAGCGTGGCCAAGTTTCCTCTGCCATTCCACAGTTCTTATGGAACATCGTTCTAATTTAAAAGATTATTCAAACTTAATCTAAAAATCTATTATCTCAGTTAAGGTATTGAGGCTACCCTTGCAATATGTAATATATTAATTTATAATATATACAATACATAAACTTAAAATATATATAATCTATTAACATGTATACATGTTATATACATACATATTATATTTCTAATCTATTAACATAAATATGGAGCTACATGAATATATGCAAACGTAGGGTAAAAATCTTATATATGATACCTTAACTTGTGAGATCACATGTATGTACATAGTATATATGTATATACAGGTATATGCTGTCTCCCCCAACTAGACTGCAAACTTTTAAAGTCTGGCAGCAATTGTTTCATTTTTTAATCTTT